GTTTAAGTTGGATGATTTATTTTGACAATAGAAGATGAAAGCCATTCTACAAATTAATTGTAAAACAAACAAGATGGGTTTAGTTTTTTCACCGTCATTATACTTCTGTTGTATAATGTCATTACACTTTCTCCCGCTTATGGTCACAATGGTGTGTGGTAGGATTGGATTTTACAGAGTTAGTAAATAACGATAACTCTTATTGGTTACGATCGTTTATTGAACATTCGGAACTTTCTAGCTTTATGCAGTGATTTTGGAAACGTCCTTGTATGAGTTACACATAGAACGTAGATTTTGATTGGGTAAGAGAGACACACCTCCAGAGCGCGGTGTATTTAAAGTCCAGCATTTTACGATTAGATCAGTTGGCTAAAAACCTTCTCAAAGGTTCGTGCCAGCTCACTTTTTGATAAGATAGGTAAATCCCGGTCGCTATCTCTGTTTTGTTCAATATGGCCAATTGTCTGGTTCACTCGTTCAATATTGTCCTTTTTGTTTTCCTTATTTTATGTCCATTTCTGTTGTTAATTTAGAGATCCTTATTTCTATTATTGGTAAACCGGCTAGGTTAGGCGTAGTAGATTTTTCGTGAAGGGGTGGGTCACTTTTCTTCGGACTTAGCATTGGGTAGTGCGGGCTCTGAACTTTGTACGTCGGTTAGGTAGGCATTTATTTTTATTAAGGCCCATAAGTTTACGGTCGTTAGTACATCAGTTTTCGCTGTTCGTGCTGTTAATAAAATACAATTGTTGGCATGATATATTTGTTAATTTGCAAATTCTTGTTATTAAAATTCCTGTGTTAGTAAGTCACTTTCGTGAGTATTTGAGATTCAAAAGGTTTATTGGTTATTGAGAAATTGGTATAAAACGCGAAGTACTATTATAGACAAAGAAACGGTGTGATATAAGAGGTATTTTTATACTGTCATTTTCGTTACACTGATATCGTGGATTTTCCTAAATTGCATTGATACCATTTAGCGAATTCCGGGTACATTGGTGCCGTGAGTGGTACATTAGTTTGAGGGTAAAACCAAATCCTGTCACAGGTGTATATGTTTTTAAACGTATTTGCTACTCAAGGGCGGGGCTTACTCTAAGGACGATCAATGTTTAAAGAAAGGCATGCTGATCACTGAGGAATTGATGTTACATCGATTAAAGACAACATTTTGTTAATTCTCTCGTCATTATAATGCTCTTGTTAGAAAATATAACCTATCATGTGGCTGTTTCAAGGCTAACTTGTTTCAAAGCAATCGTAAAAACTGTAAATCTCATAAAATAAAAGTCATCTTTAATACCTTGCACAAAATTAGAATGTTTACATTTTTTTGAAAATATTGACGACTTTTCGTTTTATTCAGTTTTTATATCATGTTCAAGAGAAAAGTAGAATTTTTTTTTACTTTGCATTAAATTTGGAAGTTAGGTTTTCCATATCCCATGAGGGAAGATACTATGATCATTATAATTCAAAGTTCCTTGTGCACTGCTATGCCAATAGATAGCTATTTTTTGAAGAATAATGATGGTACTCAGAATAATGAAGTTTTTCTCTGATGTGAGTTTTTTATTATTTTTTTTTTTTTACAATTATTTACCGTTGTGACAAAAAAGTTTTTACACATAGAACTACAATCTTTCTATCACGCTTGAATTTTATTTGAAAATAATGACTGATAAATAAATTGTTCTGAGGGAAAATTAATAAGAATTAGGAAGGGTTAAAATAGAATTTTTACCAGGAAATACGAAAATAGTATACATAAAATGTACATTCGCGGAAAAAAACTGTTAAGATAATGAGTTTGAAACGGAAGAAAGATTTGCAGCAGAGATCATTCTCATATTTGACCCTCGTCCAATCACGGAAAATTACCAATTTCCTGCATAAAAAGAGTATTGATATGTAAGGAACAAGAAATAGAATTGTGTTTTTTATATATGTATAGCTATAACTGTTGCGTTTTTCACCTATATATTTTGCGTCTTTTGCATATGGAGAAAAAACGTCATAAAATAGTTGTATCTGTAAATAAGCGTTTTTCAAACCGTTAATAAACATTACGGTGTACATCCTTTTGTTGTCTTCAATTAAATTTAACGATATTGCTATAACTGGCCAATGGGTTTTTTTCTTTTTCCGCTTTTATTGTTTTTTTTTTTTTTTTTTTAATAAGAGGATAAAAGGAATTATAAAGAGGGAGCTCGAGAGTTAATTTAACAGAGAGAGAGAGAGAGAGAGAGAGAGAGAGAGAGAGAGAGAGAGAGAGATCTGAGTTGTTGTCTTCACCCAGGATCAAAATTCAATTTCAACCAAATGATCAAATTTCCTTTACAAATGAAGAATTTTTAGACGAACTCTTGACACCAAAATTCTCCACGATAATATACATTGTCTGGTCATTATCAAGTTTCGAAAAGTAGAACAATGGTTTCCTCGTTCCATCTTTAAATAAAGGAATATTGTTGGTCATTAATTCGAAACAAGTCAAATGAATGACAAATTGTAAGCACACATCTTAATAATTTAATTAACTAAGGATAAAAATGTTTCAAGATTTATGCACATCCATGACTAGAAAGAAATACTATATATTAGTATTAACATGCACATGTATCTTATGCGGCAAATTAGGAGAATAAATTCCTCTTCATACCTGACAATACTCTTAACAAAAAAAATAACACAGGGAAAAAGGCAATTAAACCTTATTGATTTTTATTCATTATATAAATTATTGTAGGTGAACGGATAACAGAATACAATATATAACTCAAGAATGTTAATTCTATTTGCATGCGCGGATCTGGAGGGGGTCGGGGGTCAGGACCCCCCCAACCTGGAATTTACCAGGTTAATAAATGTATACACTAAGACAAGAAAATAGTTACCATGGACCCCCCTTTGAAAACGAGGACCCCCGTGGTAAACGCGAATATGTGTGAAATGGGTATGACTAGTGAAAGATTTGAGGGAATAGAAGTCACCACTAACCCCCCCCCCCTCCCATGAAATAGGTTTTTGACGTTTGAGCGAGTATACGTTTTTTTTTTTTGGTTGTCAAGAAATTTCTTGGATTGGATTTTTTTTTTACTGAGGTAAACCCCCCCCCCCCCCCCTGGAAAAAATTTCTGGATCCGCGCCTGATTTTTAAATAATTTAGTGCGACATGAACTGATACATATACACAATGCTTCTCTAAGTGGAACACGTATACTACTTCAAAGCGTCTAGTGCTTGCGTATAATCACAATCAGTGTTAACACTTAAATGATGTAATACTGTTTAAAACATTGCTGTGACGTCAAGCCTTTGTTCTTGCAGTCTAAAAATTTACCTATAGCCGTCCGATAATAGTAATTACCAGTCTGATAATATATTATCGGACGGCAATGATAACAAAATCGGACGGTGTTTAAAAAACAAAAAGAAGAGTGAAATTAAGATTAGATATGGCCAGAAACCCCCAATAAATATGTGAGGAAAAAATTCAGGGAAACCAAACGAAAGGAAATTAAGTTGATCACAATACAAAATAGAAAATCCATGAAAAGAAAACCTTCCACAACATTAATTTTCACTCTTTAAAAGAGTTTTTGATTCAGCGCTTTGAATAAGCAAATTTAAATCCATTTCTGAAAAAAGATTCTGCAATCTCTTTTTATGTTTGTTTCCGATGGCCTTACTTTCAAAACCTGAGAATTTCCATTATCTAAGCTAAAAATTCAGCTAAGTAAAAATCCGCATTTTACTTGCCATGGTGATGGCAAAATCTTTCACCACCGTACCCCTGTCCTGCTTAACGAAACGACTGCCATTGAATGAATGAAATTAATGAAACAAGAGTTCACTCACTTTTTTACCGTTCACTCATTTCTTTTATCTACTTATCAGACGGGTTCAAACAATGGATGCTTGAACTCCCATTGTGTTATTATCGAACTCCTCCAGGTAACCTTTTGACATTTAAAGGGCAATGTTTTAAGTAAGATATATGCCTTATACTATTCTATATGTAAAATTATCAGACAGTTTTCGGCACTAACGGGCCTCAAACAGTCAAAAAATATATGAATAATAATAATAACTAATTGCAATGTCCGATTTTTATTTATTACCAAGTAATTATAAATTCTAAAGCATTTAAAAAAAACTTCTTTTAGCAAAAATAGTGGCAAATAATCTCTTCAACATGATTTGTGTTAAATATACGAGTCGTTCAAAAATTCCACGGACTTGTTGCACATGCAGAAAAAATATTTGACGACATAATCGGGAAAAATGTGGCACATAATCGGATAATCTTGTACAAAGATGCTTGTTTTTCATTCACTTTTGTTTTTAAATGCATGATTTGAAATGTTCATGTTTTATGTTCATGAAAATTTGATTTCTCTTATGTACTTATATGAGATTTGAATGATTTGTTGTTCGCTCGTCTTACTGACAAAGTTAATTGGCCAGAGATATTAAAGGAAATGTGTACTCGTAACAGATAGTAAGGTTTATGGGTCCATGTGGTTTGGAGAGGCTTTCACTAGGAAGTGTGATTTTTTTTTTCCAGTAAAGTATAAACTTTTAAGGATATAAAATAATTACAGAATTGGTAAACAATACTTTTGTTAACTTTTTTACATACTTATGTAATTCAATCAATTATAATTCTACTTCATTTGAACAATAAAATTATGCATAACTAAATGAATATTCACTTTCCTTAATTAATACTTTTTTCTTCAAATACTCAGTCAACAGTTTATATTAACAGAGAGAAAAGTATTATCCACATAGTTAACTCTCATTCACTCAGAGAGAGAGAGAGAGAGAGAGAGAGAGAGAGAGAGAGAGGTGCGACATAAATAAGTACTACATTTAACGAAACCCGTCTGATGACACTTCAATATATTGCTGTATCAAACACTCAACATCAATCACGTGTTCACAGGAAGTCACTTCTTACTTTACAGCTCACTACACAGAAATTAAAACTTTTTAATTCTCTTCCCCTTTGTGACTCTGTGTTGACACCGTAATTATTTTACAAGATAAGGAGGAAGGAAGTTTCATTGTCATAAAATTTTGAACCATTGTCAGAAAGTTAATGTGTACTGGGGTCAACCCAAAACGTAATGCTGTAGATAATTTTCAGTTTGTTATGATGCCTTAAGTATATACACATGGCTGAATTCATGCTTCTATGCCTAGTACTTGCTGGATCCTTATGCTTTGTTCAAGGTAAGAAACAATGTAACAAAATTTAGTACACTGGTTTATATCGAATTTATATACTAATGGCATGGATCAAAAACAGTTTTTAGCAAAGAGGAGAAAATAAATACATAAGCGTTTATATTTCCAGAGGCGTGGATTACAAAATACAATATGTATCAACATTGAATAATACTTGTTTTTCAATAGTGGAGATGTAGTTTTGAGTATATAGCAATAATTCATACACATATAAATACCATGAATACATATATAGACGCGTATAATACCTATTTATTTCTTTTAAGTATGGTGAATAAACATACTTTTTCTGAATAGTCCGTACAGTGAAAAAGTTTTTGTCCTCTTTTCAAGTTGTGAAATAGTCATAAATCTATACACCGACAGCTTTCTGTTTCTCTCCCCTTTTATCTCGGAATTGCTTCTATTCTTTTCCGGATTGTGATGTATAGGTTATTACGAACAGAAAGTAATTCGACTTCGGTATAATAAAACACCTATTTAATGACTATTCGGACAAAATATTTAAGTTTATCTCATCCCTCCCGCGACAGCAACTACTTCCCTCGCCTGTGCCTCGGATATACATCTTTAGGGACGACTTGATAGGTGGCTCTTATCCCAATTTCTTTTCTTTCCAATCAATTTGTGGAATCATCTATAAAAAGTTACACGTAACAATTATCTTTCACATTAGCGTCGGAAGCAAATTAAAAATGGGGTGTTAAATTGAAAGTGGTTAAACCAACGAAAAAGGGTAAGTCCCGATTATTTTATGTTAGCAGTTTATTATGTTCATCATGGTAAAAATAGGGGGGGGGGCTAAGTCTCCCAGCCACTACCCCTGGTTCCGAAGCCCAAATGGCTTCCGACTTAAGTCTTAAGGTTGGCTTCTCATGTTTAAGAAGAGGCCCAGAACAACGGTTTGGTTTGTGAGTGATGATAGGGGTTTGTCATAATAGGAAGTCAAAGTTTTACATTAATAAAATATAGAAAAACTTCTTTAAACAAAACTTTTTCTCATGAACCAGTGGGCTAGAAAATGTAAAACGTATATAAAAACAGAGCGTGGAAGTTTAGATGAAAACTGTAAATCAGATTCAATGAATTTGAAGGCATAACAGATATATATTGGCTGAATACTCGGTATATGTAGACATAATCTTCATGTTTTAGTCTCAATCTGTAAGAGTGGAAAGTGTTATAAATTTTTACCTAGACCCGTCATTAAAGAGTTACTAGTATCTCCTTTTGCTTTTAATCAATAAAATTCAATTAAAAAAAAAAATATCTGGTGAAAAATTATATTAATTTTAATTTTTTTTCTATTCTTAATTATTATATGCATCTTTTCACCATGGCATTTTTTTATATTCATAGTATTTAAATATGTATTTTTGAAAAATTGCTTTTCCCCATAGACCCCAATTCATTCTTAATTAATAAATTACTGCTAAGGTAATTATATTTTTAAAAAATTTTCCTGGTTATTTCTTTTCTACTCTAAACTGCATTGAATTAGCTTCCGAGTATTTAATATAGGATGGATATTTAATGTTAGAAAATTATGTCCTTTTATGGATCGGATACCTTAAAAATACCTCATTATGGGTAGTTTAATGCGGTCTGGATTCAAAGTAACATAAAGGGAATCTGAAGAACAGCAGGAGCAAAGTCGCGTAGGGGAGCGCTGTTGTCCACGAACCCCCAGTTATTATTATCATAATCAGATTCTGAATTTCTTTTTATATCCTATGAGCCTAAGCTTATAAATCTCATGTTGAAAATTGGTTTAATTTTCTAATGTCTTTGTCTAGAATAATTTGAAGTTACGTAAATTCATATTTCCTTGAAATGTTTTCAGCATTATTTTGTCGATAACGTTTATGCTCCTCCTTTATGCAAAAGAGTGAAATTTTCAACAATGAAACATCAAAATCAATAATTTTGATATTTGATTATTTTAGGACAAACGTTTGAAATATCCACAAAATTTATGAATGGAAATCTGATATTCACATGGAGCACTGTATCAACAACCAGCAATGATATAACAATCATTAAGGATTCTCAACCCAGTGGTTGGATATCGGTTAATGATGACCAGTACACAGTGGAAGATGTTACACTATACAAAAGCGTAACTATCATGGTACGGGAGTACACACAGCCAAAGTATGAAGACTACAGCAAGACATTCAACGGTAAGAAGAATATACATTCATGCACTAAAGAAATTATTAAGACCGCGGAACATTAACTGGCAAAATTGGAAATATACAGCTTACGTCATTTCTATCTGTTACAATCAAAACATTCAGTGATAGACAATGAAATGGGCGGGTACAATTCGACGCGGACGTTTGGAAAACATGGGATTGAAATTGCAGATCGAAATTCATTTTTAATCCACCTCAGCTATGTTAGAGGGCTCATTTTACTGATTGACCCAGAAGACAAATAGTTTCAACTTTGGTGCAGTTTGAATTTTTCTTTGTCCAGTGTTTTAAATGTATAAATATTTAAGGGACAAATATTACATTTCTGTTTCATAAATATATGTATAACATTGTCTTGGTGGTGGTGGTGGTGGGGGGGGGGGGAGGGGGGGGGGCTTGAACGATTTTTAAATGAAGTAACTGTTGTCCAACAGTTTTCAGTGAGAATAAGTATAAAACTCATGCACTCTTATAATCCTAGAATTAAAATATATTGTCATGTTAAGGCATGACCTGACTCGACAATTTTTACCCCCCCCCCCCTTGTAGAATCAAATATCTCCTGAAAAATAATCTTTGTCTTGTATGATATTTCGCGTTCTTAAAATAATAGGCTAAAACTAATATTAATGTGAACTTCAAACAATTAATATGTTTTGGGAGTTGAAATATAGTTGATTTTTGGATCATACATTCACTCTTTGCTTTGAAACAGCTGAGGTGGATTGAAAATGAATTTCGATCTGCAATTTCAATCCTATGTTTTCCAAACGTCCGCGTCGAATTGTACCCGCCCATTTCGTTGTCTATCACTGAATGTTTTGATTGTAACAGATAGAAATGACGTAAGCTGTATATTTCCAATTTTGCCAGTTAATGTTCCGCGGTCTTAAATGGCTATTTTTGTGGTAGTAAGGTGGCGATTTAAGAGATGACAGGACGAATAACCTGCTTGTAACATGACTCTGTTTCGCGTTAAAGTCATTGTCACGGTTGATTGAAAACCATTCCAGACCCTCTCTGACAACGGGTCACAAGTTTTATAGGGGAAATTTTTTTTTTACAAGAAACTGGTTAGTAAACTGTAGTTGCCTTTTTCATTAATTAGGCAATTCGAAAACAAGACCCCATTGAACTTCCGTAAACTGTGCTAAGATTGCAAGAAATTCATAATGTCTCTAAATATTAAAAAACGATGTGCATACCTCATATGCATCAAATAAAGCAACAAGATTTGTTGACAAACTCGTCGTTATCATATTGAACGTGTTTTGGGCTTTTTAGCGTTTACCCTATGAGACGTCATAAATTTTACGGTTGGGTAATTCTGAATACTGATTATGATGCACAGTAAATAAATTTCTCTTCTGAACAATTTTCGTAATTTTTGGTCTTGTAGTCAATTTTTCTCGAACATTATGCTACCCTGCGTTTCATTTTCCTTTCAGTATATATATTTTGAACCTATTTAATGTTTGAGATTTGTATGATATACATTATGATTTGGAATACCCCATCAACGAATACTGTAGAAGAACTTCTTTCCGCAAGGTATCTATTCACACTATCCCGTGCATCGAGGTTCCACTTCCCCGTCAATTTTCATTCGGAAGTCACTTGGAATAACTTAAAAGTATTTGGGAGCATTTGGAAATCTAAGTGCTCCTAAGGCATTCGGAAGTTTTTTTGTTTTGAAAAATCTGAACTCATTTTAAAATTTTTTGGGAACCATTTGGAAGTGCAAAGATCAATCTATAGTCTTTATATTTAATGAGCAGATGTTATGATATCAGCTGATCGAGGTTTTGTCTCGGGCTCTCTCTCGTGGATATTTTAAATCTGGCGGTTGAAGCATCGGAGTTGCATCATCACGTTGAGGGGTGTAGTATTTAAAGGATATCTGTAACATTTTTCGAGTTATCAGGCATCCCTCAATTCTCTATCTATAGTGAGGGATATCTTCTTATATCATTCAATGTGAGAGATGACCTGAGGGATGCCTTCTAATTCCTTGTTAGAGCGATAGGTTATGCAGAACTCTCCTTTCCCATTCATCATGCATGACATGTGCACGTGTTAATTTTGTTAAATTCCTTAAAGTATTGGGTTTCTGAAAATTTCAGGTTTCATATCCTAAAAATTCTATTTTTATTGAGCAAAAAGTAAAAACTTTTTCAGTATGCCCGATTTTGAAAATATGGCTAAATACTTCTTCCTCCCTATTGTGCGCTTACGCAGAAAAGTTAATTAAGTTTGCGTAGTTACCATGGTCTCAAGTACCCGGGAATTAATGCAAGTAGACCAAAACTTCAATGCAGTCTTTTTCAAACGTTGTTCTCTCCTTTACATTCTCAAATTGAATATGTTATATAGAAGTTTGAGCTAAATATACAGATGGCGTGATATTAACATTCAAGAAAAGAACGTCGTTTTGATTACGGTATTGACTTTAATTGTTATTTGTTTTTTATTTTTAATATATCAGTGGATATTTTAAATTCATAAAACAGTTTAACGGGATGGTAGTTAACCAGGGAGGTTTGTCTTTTCTGAATACATTAAATAAAATAAATTTCTTAAATAATGCCAAAAGAATAGTGTTTTTAATTTTTATTTGAATATATTTTCAAATCGCTTGTTGTTTGTTATCTAGATAAGATGTTTAAATGTAAGCAATTGAAACTTTGCAATTATATGTTCATGTTGTTGAATTGCGTTTAGAAGTCATTTGGAAGCAACTAGGAAGTGATTTGGAACCATTTGGATATTTGTTCCAATGCTCCGAGTAGTGACTCGGAAATTCCAAATGAAAAATTCCAAGTGATTTACATGGAAATTCCAAACGCAGCATGTGTGAATGAATATACACGGGGTGTACGCGGTCACATTTAATTTTCCGGGGAAATTTGTCCAAGTGTACTTAATATATTTATACAGCAGATTAAACAGAAACTGAGATTTTGACGGAATTATGACCCTTGGATAAAGGTTCGTCTACAGTATTTAAATTAACAGTCCAGAATCCCACATTTAGGACAGTACTTCATTAGTCACAATTTAAAAATGTACATTAATTTTATACATCTCTTGGTATTTCCTTACGTGTAGTATGCACGATGACAGTACACTATGAGAGGTTTTGATTATTAATACAGACATTAAGAGGAAGAGAAAGGGGTCTTTTACACATAAACTTTTACAATGGTAAACTAATTCTTCACAATTTTATTTATTTTTATTTTTGCATTTCACCTTTCCAACATTTACAACGTATATGTTTTTTTCGCGAGCAAGTAACAAATTAACTGCGAAATGAATGATCTTAATTGTACCCTTAATTTCGTTGTAGCATAATAAAATTAATTACTTGAGTGGAAATTGGAGCCTTCCTTTACCACTTTTCCTACGAAAAAGGATTATCGAATTTGGACAATATCCCCTCTTGTTTAAAAACGATACTACATGCCTGTATTATCAGAAAAAAAAATCCATATGCTTCCAGATTTGACCAAAAAATTTTATGGTCTGAGAATATCAGAGCGATTATATGAGGCATGATGATTATAGTTTATCATGCGCTGCGTAGTTTCTAACACATGAAGAAGAAAATATATTACTTATCTAAAGATTATTCATTTTTAATTATATCGATTTAATTGTTGAATTATTAAATTTTTTATTCCAGTTAATACACAAGAGTCTAAGATTGGAGAATCAAGAAATATTTCATGGACTGCAGATTATTTTCCCAAAACTGGACTTTACCTCATTTTTCATGCATATAACGGTTCGGTAACACAGATAATGCAGATAGGGGATAGTGACCCGTCAACTGAAAAGTATGTTTATCACACCCGACCCCTTGATTCTGTTGATATACAGTTTGAGGTGAAGAATATAGCGCTGCAAGATGCCGGATATTACCTAGGAGGTACCTCGGAGGCGGATGCTTGGTCGAAAGATGGAGGAACTGTACTTCTTGTATCTGGTAATTTTTTTAATAGAATCTTCATAACTTTTCTGACTTATGTTTACACACCAAAGAGGGAATTTGAATGTAAGCAATAAACTACTAATTACGTTTTCTCTTTAAACTGCTGTATGTATCAAATTCAAACTTTTGCGTTCGTGTAATATGTTGACTCAAAACATATCAAATGAAAGTTTTAGACTTTTTTTCAGAGAACTATTCGTACAAACTAAAACATCACATATATTTTTACAAAAAAGGTATATAAACTCCTAAAAGAGACACTTTATCTGTTAAGTTCCTTTCTAATTCATCAACTCTTTATTTACAATCAATTTAGGGATACCAGTTAAGCCTATTATATCTGGAAATCTAAACATTCAAGTTAGAAGATATGCCGACCTGAAATGTGAAAGTAGATCTACGTCTGCCCCGTCCTATTACAAGAAGTTTCCGCCATTAACGTATTCATGGTTTGTCAACAACACCAGGATAAATGGGGAGGTTAGAGAGACCTACAGCTTTACTGTCACCAAAGATGTTAAATACAACAGATACATTTGTCAGGCAAAGGAAACCCTAGAATCAGAGAGAAGTGAGGAAATTCAGATTAATCCTTTATGTAAGTAATAATTTATAGCATATTTTGTTGAGGAAGATCAAAATTAAATATGCGTAAGATAAACTAACATGACATATTATAAAAATGCTATAAAAATTCTGCTGAGTAATTAGACAACTCAAAAAGTATATAAACTTGGTTCTTAAAGCAGTGAACGCGAAAAAGATTAACGAAAATGACATTTATTGCAAAATACTGGTCAAGATGAGACATGAGAAGTTTTTGGAAACTACCTTTTGTTTTATTTTACAGATGGTCCAGAAACTGTACTTGTAACCCCCGTGCCACCAACTGACGGACAAAGTGTTCATGACGGGGAAACATTTGGTCCATACACCTGTTCAGCTGACTGTAACCCACCTTGTAACGTGCAGTGGAAACTCAGAGATCCCTCAGGGGGTTTTAGAGACGTTACACCACTTGGGCCGTCTTCAGTTACTGTACCAGAGCTAACAGCGAATAGAAATAGTATGGCATTGATTCGATGTGTAGTAAACGGCACCGAAGGCAAAGAAACATCATCCATCAAACTGAACATACAGTGTAAGACTGTTTTAAAGCATTGTCTCAAAATATTTGATACACTAAAAAATAACAACGGACGGAAGAAATCAATAAAAAGACACCCCTGCAGTACCGAAATGAACCGAAATTAAGTTGTGTTCAGTTCCGCTATAGCATGGTTTAAACACAGTTTTCTTTTCTATAATATTAAAGAACATGTCTGAAAATTAGATACCTAATATCTCGTACAGTGTCACTATAATGTTATGTAAAGATTATATAAATATGTCATCGATGAGGGTAAATTAATTTTGTAAATGTGTTCTTTCCTCTATATTTCGTTTCTACATTGAGTAATTTCATACTGTGTATTGTAATATTTATGATTCCTGTCCTTAATACACATATACAATTTTGAAAGAAAGAACAATAAATGAAGAAAAGGATCTAAAGTGCGTGCTAGTTATAGACTTTGGTTAAAATATGTAACATTTCAAATTTCAACAGGCATTGGGTAGGTCAGATGTCTGTTTATCAAAATTATTAAGAAAGCCAGTTTGTTCTGGGTATTACAGAAAACATTCCGTATTAACCGTGCATAGAATTCTATTACATTCCTTTCATGTGACAGGTTTCAAACAGGTTTGCATGCTTGATTTCGCCACAGAATGATTAGAGTTAGGGTGAAATTATACTCTTAACATTTTTTCTTCTGTTGCGGCATTGTTAACTGGAAATACTGTTTTTTTTGTTTTTGCTTTTTGTTTGATTGTTTTTTTTTTTTTTTTTTTTTACAAATACCTAATTTTCAAAAATTATTTTCATTAGATTTATCGGATCCAAAGGTATATATTAATGGCATTCTTAAAAATTCCCTAACCCTTGATGAAGGATCTCCTCTACTTTTGGCATGTAACATGGAGGGAAATCCGATTCCAGATACCATCCTAAAAGAAGTCACTGGTAACAAGATCTTGGTGCAACGTACTAGTACCTGGATAAACCACACACTGAGAAGGGAAGCAGTGTGCTCTGACACAAGCACCTACAGCTGCGAGGGAAGCTCTTCAGAGTTTGAAAGAAAAAATCAATCATTCCTTATCAATGTTCTTTGTAGGTATACTTTCCGATTTTGCACACATTCAAAATATTTATTACAAAGTTGACAAAGTAGAGATTCAATTTATGGCATATGAATAAAAGATAAGATTTCAATATTTGTGTAACTTGTATATAAATGTTAAAATAATCATATTAGTTTCAATAAATAACAATTTCTTTATGTGTCAGATCATTAAACGCAGCGAATAAGCAAAATAAACATAATTTTCTTTATTTCGTATCAATTTGAATTCTGAAGTTTAAAAACATCAACTCCATTCCATTTCTTTTCAATTGCCGTTTAATAATACTGTATACAGGGAAATTTTCGCCCCCGTTTTATTTTCGTCCCTTTCGCCCTAGCCTTGGTTGGGCGAATTTAAAACGGGGCGAATTCAAAAATTAAAGTTTAATTTCTTTAATGAAAATATAATTGGGCGAATTTAAAACTGGGCAAAACTGTTTGCAAGATTTAAAGGGCGAAATAAAGCGGGCGAAAAAAACCCTGTATACTGTATGTATATATGTATTCATGATTAAAATATCATTTTAAGTTATTTGAAATGCGTTATAGAGGAATCAGGTCTGCCAATTTTCCCATACCATGACAAGTATTTTTGTGTCAATATGTTGGCTTTTTACTTTCAAAGATGGGTGTTTATTCAAGTACTCAAAAACTTTATATCATCAAAATAAGTTTTACATGTAAGTTGTGTTTACTTTAAATCGACTAGAATTTTATCTTAGTGCATGTATTAAATACAACAATATGCACTTACATGTTTCTGTTTTCTGCAGAGGAGGGACATAAATGTTAAAAAGATGTGTATCATAAATTGCATATACTTATTTTTTTCTATGACTTATTTTCTGTATATTTCTCTAAAAATTCAAAAAGGCTTTAATTTCACAAATGTTAACCATACTCCATTTCTCATGATATTTCAGGCGACCCTCGCATTGATTTGACAACTGTAGTCAAAACCAACTATGGCTCAATGAGTGGCCCGGATGTTAATGTTCCTGTGGATGTGCCAGTGGTTGCAAATCCCCCAATATCTTTAACAGAGATCACGTGGTCAGGTCCGTCAGCGACGTCTATATCGACCGATGTAGATTTACAAAGAGATACCTTAATATACAAACAAATGATCAGAAGCAGTATTCCCATTCCTGATCAGAGAGCATTCGGAAACTACTCACTGATGTACAAAGAAAAAAAGATCATTGAGATTACAATTAATGCCGAAGGTTGGACTTTTAAAATATAAAGTTTAATCTACTAATTGACTTTTAAAAATAATCTTTTTAATGCTAGATTCATATTAATGCCGAAAATAATATAAACTTACTTTTTACGTACTTTTCAGCTTAGTGACATTATTCAGTTAAAAAGCATTTTCATCGAATGAAACACTTTTATAGGAATCCTTAAAAACTATATCCATTTCTATAATTTTAAAATAAAAGTAATGATAATCTTCTAAGATGTAGCAACCGTCGGCAATAGGCCTATATTAAATTTCCTTTGTCTGAAATGAAAAAAAAAATCCCGTATTTGTATTGGATTTTCCTCGTTTTTCATTGAAAAGGCAGTTTACATGTTAAATGCGATTTCTCTTCAGTGTACCTTATATCAAGCCCGATTCACCCTTTTTTAGGCTTTCATTATTTAAATTTTAAAAATAGATAGGCAATCTTTTATTCCCTAGATACATGTAACAACCTGAAGCAGATACATTTTACCTGTAAAAAATTCTCTGTTAAGATTCATATTAACCCTTTATAATATCTTTTTATTTTATATTTTCCTTAAATCTAAAATATCTAATATCAATAATTCCATTTTTCTGTCATTTGGCGATTATACGAAACACAAAATTTATTCATGCTTTTCATTTTTTAGACATATTTTATCATTTTATTGTGAGACATCAACCTTAAATAATGTATATCACAACTGAAATTATCCAGACATCATCTTGAATAATGACTATAATACCTTTTACACTTTCACTTTTTTTATTTGTAAGATAAACCTCAGCCACCTTTAAACTTCACCGGATATTCCTACGCCTCTGGCTACGTCAATCTTACTTGGATATCAAACTTTAATGGCGGACCAGACCAAGTCTTTACCTTGTATGGTAAGGAGGGGTCCAACTGGAGAGTTATCAAAAATTTAACAGACCCGGGGGAAGGAGAAGTTGGATTCTTTGACCCTGGACTGTTAAAAACAGGACAAGAATACTGGTTCCGGTTGGAGAGTTGTAACAGAATCAGCTGTTCCTCAAAGCCTGCTGAAGTAAAGGTCACAGTGCGAGGTAATTAACTCTCTCGTAAAACAATATTTGTATGCAACTCACTGTGTTTTAAAAATTCTTTCCTTGGGAACAGAAAAGAGCATTATTTGTATGAAAAATATATTCAAATACATATTAACAATTATCATACGTCTGCAATCAAGATTCAGAGACTAGTAGTTTTGCTCTGTCTCTTTCTCTTTTGTCTGCCAAAAAATAGCTTATGTGTGGTCTATGCTAGAACTATCACAGGAGACATTTCTCGAAACCTTTCGTATGATATATATATTTTTTAAAAAACTCTCAATGCTGAAATGGTTTAACTGTAATTTTTTGACAGAAGTTTAACCTTCGCCATAAGCTGCCATACAGGGGCATCAGTGTTTTACGAAGACATTATTTTAATGTTGCTTGATATTCTTTCTTGTACAACAATACGGTCATTCATACTAGAGTAATGAAAGAGAAATATGTCTACATTTTCAGCTTTATCCAGCCCTTCGGCTCAGTCAGATGATACGACAATTGTGATTGGTGCTTCTGTGGCTATTTTTGTCATCATTGTTGTCCTGGCTATAATAGTCGCCATGTTTTTACTAAAAAAGAAATCAGCCGAGCAAATAGAGAAAAACGAAAAACGATTGAGTAAACGTAAGCAATATATATTGTTTAGCAGCATGACTTTAGGGTTTCATAACTTTGTTGTGTTTTCTAAACATGTAAAAAAAACCTCACAATTTAAAAAACCTTATTGTTTCCAGGAAATAATCACATCTTTAGGTTTTTAGTTGAGCAGTAGAATTAGCTCAAAGATAGGTATACTTTTCTAATCCCCATCAATAATGTTTGTTACTTTATTTTTCAGCCGCAGAACCAGACAATACTCAACCGGATGTCGTGTACGCTGCTGTTGACAAGAGTCTCCTGATGAAAAACAAACAACAGGCTGACGTAGTGAAGAGTGACGTCATCAAGGATACAAATGGTTCGTTGTCTTTTTCTTTCTGTCCCCGTCTTTTTCCTTCTTCTTTTTCTTTTTTTGGAAGAACTTTTGGATTTTTCTCATCCACATTTTTTGAGTCCTCGGATTTTTTAAAAATTGAAAATAGAAACATCTTCATCAAAAGAAGATGATCATTTAATAAAGAAAAGTGATGAAATATCATCTAAAAGGCAAACGAATAAAAAATAAGAAAGGATTTTTTTTAATGCGTTTATATCAGGTTTAACTCCAAAAAATGAATTTGAAGATTTTTTCAATCCCTTGAGGACGTGCACTAAACGTTTCACTATTGCAAATTTCGTGAAGCACCTTTAAAAGATTTGAAGAGGTTTATGTCATATACTTCATAAAATTTCACGCAGTTAAAGTCATTATAATATAGTTCCCTCTGACTATTAGCAGAGAAGTCCTTTGGAAAATAAGCCTAAGATTGTTAAAATTGATGAAAGAGGAAAAATAATTCCATTAAAAACAAAAATTAATAATGACTATGAATAGGGCGAAACTTAACATCACAGGTAATTCAGAGATGAAATAAATTACCTATTAGAAGATCATACATTCTTTGATCTTTTATACCTAAGATAGGCTTTTTACTTTCATAAGAAACATATCATGTTTAAGCAAAGAAGCTTGTAAACAATGACCTCTGTCAAAAAACATCGGTCAAATGTTGTAAATTGCAATCAAGAAAACGTATAAAAAGAACATTACGTTTCAATAATTCCAATCTTAATTTTATTTATTGATTCCCTGTGTTTTGATTGGACGAAAACAAATTCAAGAAAAAGTTTACACATCGATGAATTCTTCAATCAGAACTACTTTCTTGACTGTTGTAAAAACAATGAAAACAGATAGGCCTACTAGTCCGTTTTAGCTATAAATTATGATTAGGCTACAAGAAACTTGAAATAAAAAATGAATGAATGAAAATGAGATAAACAGGACTGTCAGACGGGAATATTATGTTTATGTCACTCATGTACTGTCGGATCACGAGTGTGAATTTTAAAAAATTCATGCTGTCATTTTCTCGACGTTCAATATCAGCTCAGTTGGTATCGATGTGATAGGGAAAAGAAACGTACCTCAGACTCTTGCCTTTTTCAGCATCAAATGCATATGTTTACATCCTACAGATCCCATATTCTCCCTAAATCTTTGAACGAACCAGAGCAAAACAACATTCAATGGGTTTTATAAGTTTATTTGTTGATTGTTTTGACAATCTAAGTTGGATTTTATCGATATTCATCTTGTATATGTTTCTTTGCGGTGTTAAAGTATTCATACGCCGTACAAAATAACGGATTATATGGCGGCCTCAAATGGAAATAATTTTAATAATTCAAAAAAAAATTGTAATTGGAATTATAAGAATTAAACGTTCTTTTTTCAGAATTTATCGATGTGTAAACTCTGCCTTTTTTCTCACAAACTTTACATAAAAGTGCTTCGCACTTTTATTCAGTTTATGAGCAAAAAGGCAGAGTTTACACATCGATAAATTCTGAAAAAAGAACGTTTAATCCTATAATGTTTTCAATTTATTTGAAGCAAGTAAAATTTTGAAATATTAACTTTCTGACAATGAGCCCATTTTACAGAAATTAAATTGTGACACCTTATTCTTTTACTTTGCACATGTCGCTTTAAAATCTACATTGGAAACGAAAAAGACTTTGAAACAAAAGTTGGTTGCTTAAAACATATTTGTAGATGAACGCGAAAACCTGTACTCTAACACAGAGGATGCCAAATTACTAACCAATTCAAACCCAAAGAAAGAAAACAGAAAGAAAAAGAAAAAGGAAGAGAAGACGTCACGGCAGGAGGACGAGGAGGAAGAGGGGGCGACGTACGGAAACGTGGACACCAGGACGGTGGTAAGAGTAGACACAGTTACAGATAGGTACAGGGTTAAGAATTCAAGTAGATAGAGACAAGGACAGGGGTCAGAGGTCAAGTGGTTAGAGACAAGGACAGTGGTCAGAGGTCAAGTAGTTAGAGAAATAAAGATGGTGGTAAAAATGCAAGTAGTTAGACACAATTGTAACAGATTTAAAATGAAATACGTGAAGATAACAAACATTATTCGAGCTCCAAATTTCTTTAATGTTACAAAATAGGAGCAGAGCAAACACGGAATTCCAAAACATCATAGGTAAGATTAGGTGCCACAGAGGAGTGAGCATCCTCTGTCGACCGGTCACATACCTTGTGCTCCTATCTAAATCATTGAAAAATACCTGTTAGAAGATCGAACATGTCATAGAAATATACATCATATAGTTTAACGTTAACCCCTTACCCACAGTCACGCATTTTGAACATATATTTCATTTCCTATTTCTAATGCAAAATCTAGCATATACCTTTTCCCCGCAATCACGCATTTTCACGCAAATTAAAAGTTTCATTTATTCTTCATTTCTAATGCAGTAGGTTTGTAAAACACCTGTTGATTGGCTAATGTGCTTTGTTTGAAGCAGTAAAACGAGCATTAACGTGAGTGGAAGCTTTTAATTGCGACGTCATAGTAGATCATCATAAAACCACAATGTTCCGTGACGTCGCAAGTAAAAGTAAAAGTCAGTTTGCGATCGTTAAATCAGCATAAACGGTCGCAAATTCCAAATTAGAAGATAGTTATTCCCTAATATATTGCCAAATTCCTTCTTTTTGATACTTACTTAAATGTCATGAACTAAGAAAAGCCATTTTCTTATTACAATATTTCGTCATAATATTATTTACGCTAAACTTTAAAGAAACTTGTACCATGCTATGAAGTGCTTGCAGGGAAATGGTTATGTCATATTTCTATGACGTTTACATAAAGTGTATGTTGCATAACAATTCAGTAATTTGTAAAGAGTTAAGAAATTTGAATGATAAAAACCTGTCTAATTCTTTTGTAAGCGGATAAAGATTTTTCAGAGACTTCTGATATTAAGAACAAGGTAACAACTAATCATTGTCATTTTATAGAATTTTACTTTGTGAAAGATCGTTAAAATAAGTTTGCAGACAAATGAAGACACATGCTTTTGTTCGACAAATGTCCGAGAAATTTTATTGTGTTTTAATAGTAATGTAGTATGTGGCATCTGCAAAAATGTATCAGAGTTTTAAAACAATGATAGAGAGCTTCGCTTCTATACAAAGAAGACTGTTTTAATGATTTTTTCGTACACAATTAAATTTAAAATAATTCAGCTATCTGCTATGAATTTTTACAGAATCAGGATGGACTAATATACATCGATGTTGATTTTGCAAATAAGCCCCCTAGTTCAGACACAAAAGGGAGACCAGTCATACATGGAGAAGAAGAGAGAACGGAGTACACGTTCATGGATTTCTCCAAGAAAGCGCCACCTATGCAGGAAGAAGAAGATAAAGAAAATTGATAGAGATTCATTTTTGATACTCAATTTTTTACAAACATACGGTATAAAAGTATTTTTTTTTTATCTAAATGAAATTATTCAATTTTTTAAAATGTCGGTATTTTTTTAAATAAAGAAGACCTATATGTTGTTATTAAAATTTCTCCTGGAAGATTATTATCAAGTTCATAAATTTAAACATGTTTGTCATATCCAACAACAACGATTTGTTCACTTAGACCTACCCTATTAGTAAAGCAGAGACCTGTCATCGATAGTACATTTAATATTCCATACTTTAAGTATCTACTTAAAAAAAATGTTATGTCATAAGTAATTGAAAATCTAACACAAAGACTTCAGTCATTAATTCGATTCAACTATTCTATATGAGACTTACTAACAAGTAACTGTTTTACATAGAAGCACTGTCTGGATCATCAATCAATTTTATAATTCTTTATTCCTTTGAATCTTTTTTCATATCATTCTTAATCATATCATTTTGTTATAGATATGTCTATGTGTTTTATTTCAACTAATAATAATCAAAGTGTCTTCCCTTTCACGTCATTGATATTTTTTAAAGCTGTGTTTACATCAATCATTTCTTCAAATTGCATAAATTTATACCAATGTGTGTGTTTTATGAGAGAGTGAGTGAGAGAGAGAGAGAGAGAGAGAGAGAGAGAGAGAGAGAGAGAGAGAGAGAGAGAGAGAGAGAGAGAGAGAGAGAGAGAGAGAGAGAGAGAGAGAGAGAGAGAGAGAGAGAGAGAGAGAGAGAGAGAGAGAGAGAGAGTTGTGAGTCATTGATTATTTTGTTGCAAAAGCAGCATGGACATTTATCATTTCGAGAGAAAGAGAAAGAAACCTTCCCTTATGTTTGAATGTTCTAAGCTATTTCTTTCACAGATTAAACCATATATTTGTTTTATCATTTTTATAATTTTAAAGAGGAATTCTATGAGGATTTTTTTGTATTGTACATGTTCCTTGTTGAAAGAGAATAATGTTCATATCACAAACAAATATACTGTTTATCATAAAGTTTTGAAATGTGTTTCTATTAATGAGGGAAAGAATCAAAAGTAAATCTCTATAAGTGTTTGTAAACCCTCAAGAACAAAACAAAAGTCACAATGTATTCTACGAGGGCCGTTCAAAAATTACGCGGACTGTGCTATTATTTACTCTTACAGACGTCATAGAGTTATGAAATTTCACAGAAATATGTATCTCAAAGATTTCAATAAATTTTGGGCAAAATTCCTGTATTTTAAAAACATTCTACTAAAATTATCGGTATATTGATATCGCTGATGGAGAGGTACGGAGCACGACAAAAAATCTGAAGCAAAAGCATTTGGAATTCAAAATTTAACTTATTTATTTTCTATAATTCGCAATATTTTTCGACAATTTTCTCAAATGTATCTTTAATTTGTTCTGTTATTGTGTATTTGGATTTCTGGCGTGATATTTGAAGTACTAACAGAAATAAAGTGATTTTCCTTTTATGCGATTCCCGTGAAAACGACTGTGAAAATGACGTCTCGTGAAATGACGGCGCACCACACTTTAGTTAAATTATGTGTAATGCTCGAGATATCTCCAACATAGATCCAAATGTGCATAATAAAACATGTAGTAAACTAGGGTATTCGTGACATTCGTCCACAAATAGCAAATAGGAATTTTAGACCATTAGACCTCTGAAAAATGGAGGACGGGAAGAAGATTATCGACGAAAACTTGATCAGGACTGTTACAATATACACTGTGACAATATCACACTATATTTCATAAATACCTGAAGTTTTTTGGTTTTAAAACAAAAAAAGAATATTCTTTACTTGTTTAATAGATTTAAAGCTTGCCAAAAAATGGTGTTTGGATGTTGAGTAGATAAGATAACTCAAACTGTACAGGTACTCTTGGGAAAATGTTGAGAAAATGAAAGCTCAATCGCATATTTTTTTATGATGTCTGTGACGTCGAAGATATTGCTGCTCCGTGACTTAATGATATGTCCTGAAGAATCACTAAAAATTGATACCAATTTACAACATTTTGATATGAAATTTTGTAGACCATATAAGTAAATATTTTTTTATAGTATGTGCGACATTTTGCCCGATTATGTTCGTCAAATATTTTTTTCTGTGCAGCAAGTCCGCGTAATTTTTGAACGGCCCTCGTAATTTAAGAAAAAAATAAGTAGACTGAAAACAATACTTGTTTGTGAGACACAATGCACTCGTTGGCGACAAAGTTTAAAAAAGTTATTTATAGCACATAGGTCACAGTAAAGACCACTATTTCATTGATTATGGTGTCATATGAACGAACTTAATTAGTGGAGTATGCATATAAAATATAAATTTTATATCTCTCATGATTGAAAAGATTTACCGAAGGTTCAAATTGGCATTTTTAGCATATAAGTCTATGTCATTGACCATGGTGTCATTTGAAAGAACTTAATTAGTGGAGTAAAATATACAGTACCTAACTTTAAAGGTTCAAAGGTTATGTCAAATGTTCTCGAAAATTATTGAAGCAAAAACATAGAGATTGTTTAGCATCACCAAAGGAAATTTTTTGTCAGATATGAATTTTTCAAAAGTTCCAATATATCAATCAGAAGCTTTAATATAATTTTTTTGTCAATAGTAAATGTTTATGATGGCAAAATAACGATTTTATTTTCAATCTATGCAATAATTCTTCATAAAATATTTTTTAAAATCCTACAGTAAACAATATTATCACAGTTAATTCAATTTATGCTATTATGAGAAATTTGTTAAATTTTACACCGTCGGATAATCTCCATAACCAAGCGACGTATATGCGCCTTTATTGCAGACGCAATTAGTATGTAACCTTTCATTGCGTAAATGCAAAGTGTGGTTTTCTTGGAGGAGTTATCGTACTTTTTACGGATTTTAACTCAATCAAAATCTTTGTTTTTGTTGTGCCATTTTGTTAGCCTGATAGTGCGGTGGAAAAAAATTCTTCTTCAATAAACTTGGAGCACTGGAATATTCACACCTCGGTAGTCAGGAAAATTACTTTGTTAATAATCCATCCAATGGTAAACACAGATACATTGTACTACGAAGTGTATATATAATAAAAGGATGTTCTAGTTTCTCATTGACAACATTTATTTTCCTCCATGAGGTTTCCTTTCAAATTATTGTAGTTTCGATGGGTACTATTTTTTTCTTCTCTATTAGCTGATATGTTTTCACTAAAAAGCAGAAAATATTAAATCACTTCTACATAGCAAAAGAAAACACTCGTAATAACCTTCACTTTTACATTTAGATATATCGACGACGTATAATCAATTGAAAAAAAGTATTTCCAACTCAGATGTCGACTTTATATACCCCCAGTGAAAAGGGTTTTGAGCTTGAAAACTGTTCTTTATCATTAACAAAGTAAAATCAACTTAAATTGAAATGATTCAATATAAAGGGGATATTTTATACTAAGAAAGGAAGATAAAAATTATAAAATGGAAAATTGTTAAAACACAAATTTAATTTATCTAAATATCTTAAATATATGTTTTCCGTTCTTAAAAAGTTGCGGAAGGGAGCCACTTGAAGAAATCTTAATGTAGAAATTTCTTAAACGGAAACTAACAAATTGAAGCCAAATATATTTATCTATAAGAGCAGCAACAGACACGGAAGAAGAGACGGTATGAAATACTTAAGATAAAAAGATGTGAACATGATAGAATGGAACAAGTACATACTGGTACGCTCCTAATAGATTAAACAGAAACAAAAATGATGTCATAAATCATATGATCTGACAGTTTCAAAAAGAATCTTTTACAGCTTAAAAACATTGAATTGTGTTGTTTGTCCATTTCCATTCTTTGTTTTCTTTCCTCCTCCAATTCAAAACGTTCTCTCCCTAAATAAAAGTCCTCCCTCCTTAGGTCCATTTCATCGCCCTTTTCTTGGCTGTCACTTTCAGATCTTTATTGTATAGGACCGGAGATAAGAGAGAATAGCGATGCTACTTCCATCTTAATAAAACTGAATATAACCCAAAAAGCTGATACATGTTGGTCATATACATTAGAATTTATTGAATTAGATTTATTGTATATCATATGTATAAATATAACAGAAGTCCTCAAACTTGTCAGCGGTCACCTCTATCCAGCGGTCACTTGTCCCGTGCGGTCATTTTATTTCCTCCCAATGAAATTTCATATATAAAGTAGCTCTGTTTAGCGGTCATCTGCGTAATATGGTCAGCAGTCACCTAATTTCAAACGACATCACCACTTTTCCCTGTCTTTAGCGGCCATTTTGTCCAATCACGTGACCTGATCTGGAGTCAGCTGATTCCCAATTTTTGTTACTTATGCAAATAATCAGTGAAGTGTTTGCGGGATTGTGAATAAAATTAATAAATGGTGAAATTATTTTACTGGATAAGCATATTCAAGAATCATTTTACAAACTAACACAGGTACTTGTGGACAGGACCCCCCCCCCCCCCCACCTGATATTCAACCCCGGGGCTTATTTGACATTTTTTTCACAATTTATATTTAGTACACTTATTCAACATGTTCATGATGTTTGCAATAGAAACAAATCGTGAAAACCCCAAAAAAGTCGCTCCACAAAAAATACCCCACTATACATTATAAGAGAGAAGGTAAGCAACTTCTGTTTGTTTACGTTTAGGTAAACGCAACGGAAGTGACTATTATCTATGATAACACCCAAGGGTGATTATTACGTCAGGCAAAACTCTCTCGGACGTTATCGTAATAAGTGAAACATTCTCTATGCACTTCCGTTGCTTTTACCTAAGGGAATTTCAACATTCTAACTGGAATGCTGTTTGTGGATTCTTACGAGATGCAGAGTCAATTCGATAGCATTGACTAAAACAGAAATATATGTAGAGACAGTGTGGACCGACATTTTAGGTGAAAATGAAATAAATACATGTTTTTAAACCCAGAAAGACCAGTGGGGGTACAACATAAACAAACCGAAGTTGCTTACCTTCTCTCTTATAATGTGTAGTGGGTTTTTTTTATGAAGCGATTATTTCGACGATTTGTTCCTATAGCAAACATGTTGAATAGGTGTGCCAAATATAAATTGTGAAAAAAATGTCAAATAAGCACCGGCTGGAGCTGAATATCCGGGGTGGGGGGTCTAGTCCACAAGTACCTGTGCAAACTAACTGCTTCTATATTTTACAAAACTCGAACAACTATGCTTATGACGAAAAAAGGTAATAGGAAAAAAAACGAATACTAGTATTATCGATAACTGATTATCAGGGTCTAATAACTGCTGGATTTTTAATTAAGTTTGAAAAAAACAACGTATGAACTATATTAATCTTTTAATGACTATGATATTTTTGTTTACTATTTACAGTGTCGATATCGCGCCCAACTCTGCATGATCTGAAAGTTGTAAACTTATTACGCTTGATTGGCATTTTGATTTTCACACCTAGGATTCATTTGTTGAAGCCATAATTACAGTTTATATACACATTATGGTTTGGAAAGGCCTATGTTGTGAATTTCACAAAGGAAACGACAGTTAGGAATGAGTAACACTGTATTGCTCAGGTCACCTGTGCACCTGTTGATCAACTGAGAGTTCTCTGAGTTTATTTAATTTATTATACAACAAATCATGTTCAGTGGTTTACATGTATTTAAAAAATACATGTACGGAGGTTAATTTTCTGAATCAAGTTTAGATAAAATAATTTTTATTTGATTTTATTCATTCCTCACACAAGAAAAAGAAATGTTTTGATGGGGGATAATGCAGCACCCTGTAAGTTTTTTTTTATATTAATTTTCTTGGATTCATTAAATTTAGTAATGCATCTCCTAAATAAAAAAAAAAATAGTTTAAGTGAGATCACTAATGTCCAATACCTAACTTTCTTGTATATTTTGGGGTGAAATACATAAATTAATAGAAACACAGAACTGACATATTAAATTTTTTGAATAAATTCTTTTAAAGCCATGT